CTGGGCCTCACGGAGAAGAGGGCTAACTGGCTAGTGGCGTGGTACGGGAGAAGATCCGGGCCGGCGATGTTGCTGCTATCTGCCTGGACTGGGAGACCCCAGCACGCCCTTTCATGCAGCAAAGGCAGAAGCAGGAGCAGAAGCGGAAGCGGAAGCAGAAGAAGCAGAAAACGCAGAAGAAACAGAAGAAGCAGAAGAAACAGATGAAACGATGAAACAGATGAAACAGAAAAAACAGAAGAAGCAGAACAAGAAGAGGAGAAGAAGAGGACAAGAAGAGGAGAAGAAGAGGAAAAGAAGAGGAGAAGAAGGGGAGAAGAAGGAGAAGAAGGAGAAGAAGAATGAGAAGGAGAAGGAGAAGGAAAAGGAAAAGGAAAAGGAAAAGGAGAAGGAGAAGAAGAGGAGCGGCAGTAGTTCCACCGGCCCACGTTCAGGTTGCCCGCAAAGCTCCAGAAGCAACCGCTGACACAGCACAGGCAAAGCTTAGTATTTGTCGCAGGGTTAGATAGAAATGAAATAGACGTTGACGGATGCTGCTGGTTTGGTGGATGCTCCACGTTACATCCCGACAGCTACAATGTACTGCGATGACAGTGCTGGGTGTCGCCAGCAGGTGTAAGCAGTGTGCACAGGCAGGTGTTGCGGCAGCAGCAGCTTTGGGTTTCAATGTGCTGCCGAAACAGTCCAGCTATGCGCCAGCAGCTTACTTGTTGCTTTTCCTTTTGTCTCGTGCCGTGAAGGTGAGGACACATTCATGGGCAAAACATGATACACAAATTCGTGACAGAGGCTCTGCCTAAGCTGGGAAACATCCAATTTTGGGACTTGTGTCTGAGACGGACATCGTGGTGCACTGTCTTAACCGAAGCAAGGATCATGCATGGCAGGCAAGTTTGAGTGTCAGGTATGGTATCAGATGAGTCAAGAGAAAACGAGGCCGAATGCTCCAGCTCCAGGACTCCGACCATCGCTCAATGCTCCGCTGGATACCCAGAGGATTCAGAGGCTCAGGCTGGCCAGTGCTGGCCAGCATGCTAACATTGTACCTTTGCGAACACTTCCGTTGCACTTGGTTTGCTAGGATAGTGTGGAAGGCACTATGTGTCCGGGTGTTGAAATGAGGATGGCTTCTGCTGGTACAAGCTCTACCGCGCTGGGCCACCGTGTCTGTGTGCAGTATCTCTGCGGGGCCCTTGTCTTTGCTGACATGTGGTGCAAGTAAGAGTGAAGCAGCAAAGCTCATGTTTTGGCTGTCAAGCTGCCTCAAAATGTATGGCATGTTAGCACCAAGGCTTCACCCGGTGCGACCGTGGCAGCAATTGTCCAGAGGCAGTAGCTGGCAAGGGCTCCACCATGTGGCAGAATTGATTATCCACGATCGTTGCGTTGGGTCTGCCGCATGCTTCTGTTCCTGTTGCTTAGTCTCTAGAGGAGACGATGGATCATCACATATCGTCACACAACCCTGCATTTCAGCTTCAATGAAGCACAGATGATGATGAGAGTTTGCAGGCGCACATCATGGACCCCGAAGAAGAGATGCCGAGCCCTTGAGGAAGTGCTCAGGAACTTGCTGCTTGTGTAGAGGCACGACTTGTTGACTTGGGCAGTAAGTCTTGAGCAGCTACAAGGCAGGTGCTAGATGCCCCAGAGAGAAGACTAGCTTGGCATCCAAGGCGAGTCCGCGCAAAGTTCAAGATGCAGGAGTGCAACCAAGGTGCAAATTGCACCCGCCCGTGGCCCAGTGCATGGTTGCTTGTCCGCTGAAGAGCATTCTGCAGGGGATGGGAGATGCGGCCTTGAGAAAGTAGGACACATCGGGACTCAGGCACGAGCTGCCTCTTCAGACATCCTGGCGAGCGGGTAGAAGAGGCCATGATGGCTGGGGTGGTTCTAGAGAGAAGACAAGAACCTTCAAGCGTTCCCAAGTCATTAGCTGCCATTGCCTTCATGCATGGGGTTTCGTTGTTTCTCATTATTTCTCCATGGAATGGTTGGGCCCGCGCTATTGCTGATTTCATAGTGTGCATGCTATCGAGAATTAGGGGTGGTCTAGACACGGTTAAACAAACGTACCCCAAACAAGGCATTTCATAAACAACGATGTAAGGGCTTTTCAAAATTGAAATGAAAAAAACTACAGCCCCAACCATCCCAGTTCATAGAGGAGTACATGTAGCGGGGCATTCTTGCGACATCCGCAAAGTTGCCTATCACCTCGGTGCCGGCTTTAAGAAATAGCGTAATACCGTAAAACCGTAAAACCACAGTGAACACAAGATCTCTGAGTAGGCAAAGCATGCAAAAGGGTTGGGGAAGATTGGATGAACGCGGATAGGCTAGGATTACGACCACTAAGCAGCTATACTACTATACTCTTGCATGTTGCATGTGTTGGCGATTTCTTGCATGTTGTTGCTGTTTTGACGTGTTCTGTGACTGTTGCACTGCCATCCCCGATTGTTTGCCTCACATAATCTTTAGATTAGCTTAGTTGTTTCATCCATTTTTGGCAGACCAAGAGTGAGCTGAAGTTTTGCGCCGATCTGAAATGAGTTTATGAACTCCCCAAACCTGTAATGACCATGAAAAACCGCATTATGCTGCTTGTCTCAGCTTGGTTCTGTACCGTGCTATCATGTTCTATCTGATTGGAACAACATACCTAGCTACATTTGTACTTCAAAAAATGCACTCAGCACTAGGCTGACGCGACGGCTGTGTGTGTCTTTGTGTGGGGGAGACAGACGCGCTACCCTCTATGAAACGGTAGGGTGGTCGTTTTACCGAACACGCCAATGTTTTGTTAAATCAGATTTTGACTCTGAAAAAAAGGTCATAGGAATCTCTGAACTTGGGGTGTTTGCAACTGTTTCTCGAAACTATCCCCAACCCAACAAATCAATCTTTTTTTGAAGTGGGGTGTGCACCATCATGCAAAATAATCAAACCCCATCTAGATGACCATGCAGTGGTTGGAAGGCCAGTTTGTCTGGTGGGCAGATGGCGCAGAAGGCTCGTCAGGGTAGTCTGCGATCGCCCCAAGTGTGGCTTTTGTGAGCGCACTGTTCTCCAAAATTGTGCCAAGGCAACATCCCAAAGCGGTCTCATGCGCTGAGACACAAAAAGGTAACAGATCACTGCCCCTGCAACTGCACTGTGTGATTTGCCTCCATGTGTGCTTGACACTTGACTACAGCAGGTGCAAGTTTAAGTGGCTATCAGTCGTCTGCCCTCTTGCAGCCCTCTCTCCCATGAGCGTCTGATGCCACTAGCTAAAGGCCAACATGTTGCGACAGAAGACATACAGAAGACGTAGCCTGGCCCAAAGTAAGCCTGGCTTCGGAAAAGAATCCTCGACAGATGCAGCCGATCTTCAGACACAAGCAGCTCAGCAGCTCAGCAGCCTGAGGTTTGAGTCAGCTCTGGCAATTTTCAATTTGACCACAACAGCACGCACGGCACCCTACATGGCGCTGAAGATGCCAGGCATGAGAATTGTGAACATCTATGGACCGCAGTCAATTTTCACACAAGTTTTGCTTTCTGTCCGGTTGCTTTTGATTCGTTCAACGTTTGGTCCATTCTTGATCGCATAAACTTCAATCCGTGTTCCGTAATGAGCTGAGAACTGGCTCACGTGTGTCTGTGTGTGACATCAGGCGAGCATGCTCCCAGAGGTGGCGCCAAGATACGCGAGTCTATGAAGCAGTCACTCGGACCTCCCGTGCACTTCAGGAAATGACAGCCACTGTGTGGCTATGTTGCTATGAGGCTGCTTCAAAGCAAGGCTGCGAAGAGCGTTGTCAAAGCTGAGACAGCTCCTGCAACATCGGAGGCTCGAGTTGACGGAGTTGTTTGGGAGCACAGCGTGTCGTAAGTGCAAGGAAGACATTCGCGTTCTCTGGGTTGCAGAGACTAGGTGTTTCTCAGCTGAACTGCCCGAACCATTCAGCCACTTGCATTTGAAGAGTTGAGCAGTTGTTGCTTGAATCCTCATTTCTAGTTGTCCTTGGGAGGCGGTAGAGATTGATGCTGCCAAGTGCAATGAGGACGCCGCTGAGATAAGGCCGTGCCAGTTCGAAGGATATGTTTTGCATGTCGTGCTGCAGGAGTTTTTTCGTCAGCTCGAGAAGGACACATAACTCCAACGTGTGATGTGTGCCCTTGTCCTCACAAGGGACGATCATTGGTGATGCGGGAGTTTGTTCACAGCATCCTTGCCCGCTAGGATTATGGTCGTCTCTGCCAGGAAGACGGATGGGATGAGGTGCGTGATGTGTGATAGCCGTGCTGATGAGGGCTGGCAAGGAGACATGGTATGCTGCGCAGGTTCTGCGGGCTTCTCGTGAGGAGCCAATTGCCGCAATCTTGGCCAAGCAGTCGCTACTGCTCGGAATGACGGCCTGCATGGCCCTGAAATGCCCTGACAGAGATCTAAGATCTATCTTTCTCAGTACTGCGTTGTGCGGGCAGCGGAGCCACAAATATCAAAGGGACTATGCTGCCTGTATTTCTGATTCTCGGCCAGCCTGTCAGACATCCCACAAGCTTTTTGGATTGCGTTCTCGAGAAGGTTCAGTGTCTTCGACCTGAAGATGTTGCCACATGCTTAGTCGCACTGCTCGTTTTTAAGGATGCATGAGGACTCTGCAACCTTACCACAACACCTGCTGAGTCTGTGCTAAGATTCCTGCTGGTTCCGACTACTTTCGCATTACACTGCCTCCAGGTACACCTTTGTGAGCTTTGTTTGCTGACGTATCTTGTTACTTCTGTTCCTGGCTGCGAGCACCCTTCATGCCTGCGTTGCGCGACATAGATTGATGAACACCCAAAGCGATTGTATGCACGACTTGTAGCATCTTGCAGGCGAAGACCGTGAGCTGCGGCTTGACAAGGTGCGGCTTTGCGACTGTGCGCAAACATTCGCAGAGATGTGCAGACAGACAAAATTTTTCAAAGCAATGCCAACCAGTTGGTAGGCACGCGTTGGGACGGGTGGACACCCTCCAGCTGAATCTCGTCCAAGACGGAATCTGGCCAGAGACTCAAAACAAGTAATTCTTTCACAGTGTCGACAGATGGGCGGCCTGATGAGGACGCGGTGCGAAAAGTTGAGCAGGAGACTCGCGAGGTATGCTGAGTGGTGTTACTGCTATGATTATGACTATGAGCGGTCTTGGACTTCCAGTGGGCCAGGCGGAAGCGTGTGGGCAGCCCGATGACTGTCGACATTGATGAAAGTTATTTGAATTTCGCTTCATGTCATTGTCTAGATCCATCTTACGGTGTTGGCTTTTTTACGCGCTTGTATATCAGCTTTTCAGACACAGCGCCGTGAGGCCATTTGTGATATGGAAGGTCATTTTATGTAAGAACCTTTCACATTGTTGATTGCTATGAGCAGGACAAAATACCAAGCAGTATGAGTTCGAGGTGTTGTATGGGGATTTGAAGCCTGACAGGCCATGGAGCGTGAAAGACTTCGCCGTGACTGCCTGCCTCATTCTTGGGAGAGTCGGCTGAGCGGGCTTGAGTGAGAGGTTGTCAAGACTGTTTGGAATGTCTTGATTTATGTGCTAAGAGGATGCAAGGCAGGGAGGCGCATCCAGGGTTCGACTGAAATTCTGATGAGGCCAAACTCAGAGCCTATTCGTACGCGCTCCGACGTGTGGGCCAGAGAAAATTTGATAGTGCGAGTGATCTCTGGGAAGACTGCAGGGAATGGACACTGAGCCAACTTGCGATGCAGACCGATTTTGCAGAAAGGAGAATCCCAAAAGCATTTGTACAGACCCTTACCAGATCTTACCAGCACAGAGCTTGAAATGCGTGGTGAGGTTGTGTATTTGGAGAGCTTGGACGACTCCGAGGCACATGCCTCAAATTCAAGCTTTACCTTTTGTGCACGCGTGTGTATAACCCTGTGAACTTATGGCACACTTGTTGTGTCTCTTGATGGTTCACTGATGTTCTGTCTTCCGTCCTTGCATATTGACAGTGGCAACATGCATTCGGCCTCAAGATCCATACAAAACCTGACTTGCAGCTAGAGCAGCTAGAGTTGGAGACAAAGCGCTCCTCACCACCTTGGCGTACCATGATGAAACCACCTGGAACTTTGTCGTGGGGCCGCCGCCCTCTGCTTACAAGCGTCGTTCCAGGGCTGCTCTCAGGACGCCATAGGACGGGGAGGAAGAATTTCTGCTGTGTTTTTCAATAATTCGTAGCTCAAGGAAGTTACTTTAGCTGAATGATTGCGCCGCGATGGTGTCCATGTAAAAGGTCAGCGGCGATGATCCGAATCCATGATGCCGCCCCATCTCACTTTTTAAATGTGACATGCGAGGCATACAAGGTACTTCGGCGTTCGACAACGAACTTAGAAACTAACAGTCAGGCTGGGGGGCGGGTCGAGGTTCGAGACACTCTCCCGTATCTTGTGCTGCGCTACGGAGTGTTGGGATATGATAAACCGACAAACTACACCTTCTATTCCTTGATTGGAAGCAAGCTTTTGACTCTATCGACCTTGTCGCAATGCTGGAAGCATTGCGATGCTTTGGTTTATCGCCTCATCTTTTGAGCCATCGAGGGTCCAAGACGGCAGGCAGGCGCAACGTAAGGTCTCTTGCGGTTTACGTCAGGGCCGTCACGGATGCCCCCATCGTTTTGATCGTTGTTGTCACGTGTGAGGTGCATTGGACTGGTTGGGTTATGCCAACGTCATAAATTCCCTATCAAGCCGAAATTTTGTGGGCACATGCATTTCTGTGCCTGCTTCCCTCTGAGCCAAGGCTAGTTGTAGTTTACTACGCGTATCTTGCCCTTTCAGGATGATGCGGAAACATAGGCACAATGCTGGTCATGGCCCTTACCCGATTCTGTCTAGAAAGCAGGAGCTCGGGCAGCTTACGACCATTGTGGCCTCAACCTCGTTCTCTAAGAGAATCTTGGAGGCGCTTTCCTCTGGTGATGTCGACCTGCTTAATCAATATGGATTCTTGGATGATTTCGACCTGAAAGGCCTTAGTGTCAATGATCTGCAAGCGATAGTGCCTGGGATTTCCAGTGATGTTGCGTCCTTATGCGTGCGCATTGCAGCATTATGCAAGGGCCCTTTTGCCAGTGCTGCCGTTAGCTCGGCCGCCGCTGCTCCTGAAGCCCTCTTTTCTGCTCCCTCGGTCATTCAGTGGAAGCCAGGCTCTAGCTCGTGCATATGGGTCAACGTGGCTTGCGGTTGAGCCTGTTGGTCCTGAGTCAACACGATAGTGCACGCACTGTGTTCTGCAATTCGGTTGCGCGTGGCGAGACTTCTTCCCTGAAGGGCCACTTGGCTGCATGGCGCAGGTGGAAGACTTTTGGCAGGAAGTTCATGCCTGAGCCCTTTGATGCTACACATGAGTCCCTAGAGGCTACATACGCATTTTTGGAAGATCAGGCCCCCAGAGGTCCGACTGTGGCAAGGAGCCTGTTTCAGCAGTTACTCTGGTGGCGACCTCATGTTGGAGTTCCGTTCCCACTTTTCGACTCCTTTGTGGCGTCTTGGAACTGCCTGCCAGAGGGATCCGTATCTGCGCAGCAAGGACCGTTGAAAGTGCCTGACGTGTTTGCACTATGTCGTTTGGCAACATCATCACAAGCTTCATTGGCTGCCTTCTGCGTTTCGTGTCTGCGCTTTGCTCATCTGCAATGTAGCGTGAGTTTTCGTGTGGAAGGCCCCTTCCTTTGGGCCACCTGCGTTCAGGGAAAATCCAAGATTCAGGAGTCTAGACCCCCCTTTCAGTGGGCATGCCCAGTTTCTTTCTTGCGTTTTACCAATGTCTTTGAGCAGGCTATCCGTGTACACCGAGACCTCATCTCGGCGTGTCCATCAGCCGCGTTTGTCATGCCAGACATCTCTGTACCTGAACAGTGTCTGCAAGAACCGTGCACGTGGACGCGCGGAAAGATGTCCCAAGCCCTTTTGCAGACGCAGCATAAGGATACCTCTTCAGGAGCGATGGTGCCCGTGGGCCCGTGGGGCCCCATGACATTGATAGGCTCCAGGCTTCGCGGTTCCGTGGGCCACTCACATCACACTTGTTTGGTGTGCAGGCGCCGGCAGAGGCACAG